ACTAATAATTTTGTTCTTGAAAAAATACTGAAAAGAAAAAGGTTTTAAGGGATTACCAGATACCACCAGAATGTGCCCTATTCAACCGACCCTTGAAAGCGTATCTAGTTGAGATGAACATTTAGATTTGGTTCTTTAATTTAGGTTTCTATGAAGATCTTCTCTTAGTTGTCTTAGACCTATAATTTATTTTTAAGGTCATTGCTTTATTCTGTCTCACTTGCCTCTTTTTCTTGCAGGTATGCCATGTATGTTTTGTGTGCTGTGTTGGGGGTAACCTGAAGCACTGTGGAAAATGCCTTCAGTCGTGTCATCTCCAATGCCTAGATAAGCCCCATAAGGAAAAGAAACACATTGAAGTATTAAAACCGTTCCGACAAGTCTTGATGAGGTTCCTTCCCAAAGGGATGCATATGGGAATAATTCTAGTGGCAAGAAAGTAGGCTCATCTTCAAATGCTAATGCTGGAGCATTGGTTGATAATAATAATGTTGGACGGAGGTTAGTTTCTCAATTGGTGATGAATTCCGCTGTAATTATTGCTTAATTTGTAAGACAAACTCATCAGCAGCAGCATTTGAAAGAAAAAGCAGCTCTGAATGAGATGGTAGCTCGCCAAGATTGAATACATCAAACTTAGAAGACACTGATTCATTCTCCAGAAATAAGTTAGATAAATTAGGTGGAGATTCATCTGCGTGAAACAAGTTGACCACCCCATTGATTACTTTCTGCCGAAGGAATAAAAGAAAAAAAGATATGGATGAGAGTCTAATATACAAAGGAAATCACTGCCCGTGGAAAATAGCTGCTCATTGATAACCAAATTGAATAATTCTGTTTGTACTAATACCAGTTCTTATGAAGAAACTTCCCCTGAAAACTGCTCAGTAGATCATGAAGCAGATTTGAAGCACTCCAGAGAGGTATGTAATATGAAGCCTATCTTTTGTCAATTTGGAAATAATGTATCTGCCTATGTGCACAAACACAATCATGTGAAATGAGAAATAGAAAATGAGATGCGACATGGAAAATACATTCTCATTTACATGTATTCTATAATAATACATATGTATAAAAACAAGGTCAGAATAAAAGGTGCATCATTGTTAGTGCTTAGTTGTCCTCCAGTGGCTGACTGACTCCACTATTATGTGCATCCTTAACCTGATACTTCATTTCTGTATATGTCATTTGTAATACCGATCTAATTTCTTTGCTACGGATAATTGATTTTACATATGCTCGTGCTAGATCTGCTGCTGCTGGAACTAAATTGTAGGTTCACATTAACTTCAGAACTTATTGGTTTCTTATATTTTAATTGCTTACTTCATTCATCGGGTCAGTTTGATGCATGAAAAAGAACAACTTCATGATGAGGAAAAGACAGGCAGTGACGCCTTACAACAGGCTGGAGAAGTACTTGGCCAGAGTGCTCAAAGTGCAATGGATGTTGAAGTTCTTTGCATGGATCATTTAAGAAAAAGTAGTGATCCTAGAGACTCCTCTTCTGAAGCTGCAACTCTATGTAAACCAGGAAAAACCCATGCATTGATAAAAGATGAAGCTCAAGTTTTATCAAGTGCTGATCTTAAAGCAACAGAAATCCCTCATTTAGGCAGATCACTTCCTTATTTGGACTTGTCTGTTATCCCCACTGGTAGGACTTCATTAATTTCTAGGAATGCATTTGAACCAGTAACATTATCAATTCACATTGTGTTTAACTTACAATACTCTATCTAAAGGAATTCTTACTAGCAGATTCATGTGGCACTGTGGAATGCAATGTTGACTTAAACTTGAGTTCTCAGAAGCAACCTGACCAGGTTGCGCCAAAAACTATGTGGGACTCCTTGGATTCTACTAGCAGAAATAATGCCACTGTATTGCATGAACTGTCTCTTCCAGAAATGTCAGCTGCGAGAATTGAAAGAGTAGAAACTCATGCTTCATGGTTACACAAAGATGCATTTGAATTTTTAGAAGTTGGTGACAGCTGCAAAGATGATGATAAAGTTAGTCCTCTATTTTCCAAGGAAATTAAACCAAAAAACCAGTGTCTGCAGGTGAGATTTGTAATCTTGTTGTTTGAAGTTTTGGGGATGATTTGGCTGTCAACTAATCTTATTTACTTTTCATGTTTGGAATTTATTCCAGCCATTTTCAGAAGAAAAAACCAGTGACATTTTTCGACCAGTGACAACACAGCCTGTGGCGGCAGCTTCTATAGCTACAGAACAAAGAAAAATTCTTCAGTTGGGAGGCAAAAATAATCAACAAGAACAAGAATCTCCTCTGTTACTAGGTGTATCCTTATCAGAAAACCAACTGCAGGATGTGCAACCAATACCTGCTTCAGTGCATTTCCCTTCTTGAACTCTGTCATTGAAACCAGAGAATTTATCCGAGATGCAGCACTCTAGTCTTCCTCGAGCCATTTATCATCAGTATTGAGACACAAGCTTATGCATGATAGTATTGTAAGCCGAGCAAGAGCTTTCAATGAAAGGAGTAGTTTTCATGACAAATATAAGCCGTATAGTACCATGTGGTTTGAAGAGGAGTTGGATTTTCTTTGGATAGGTGTGAGGAGACATGGAAGGGACAATTGGGATGCTGTGTTAAGGGATCCAACATTGCACTTCTCGTCATGGAGGGTGGAAGAGACTTAGCTGAGCGGTGGGAAGAGGAACAGTCAACACTTTTGAGTGGCATGTGTGTTCCTTAATTCAAGTACTCAATAGCACAAGGCAGTTCTTTGGACTACCACTACTTCTTGGGTCCAAAAACAGGAATCTGGAAAGAAAATATAGGAGATGAACCCGGACTTTCATTTGGCAATGTTGATGCGGGTAGAGGAGGTAATGGTTGGAGGAGGCCATTATTCCAGCCGGCTTATGTTTGCAATAATGACAATGAACACCTCCATAGGCCTATTAGTTACACAAAGAGGACATCTCATTTTCATTTCCGAAGGGAGAAGTATGACGAGGATGAATTTAGTATTTTAAGTAGAAGTAGGAGTATGGCAAAGGGCCATTTACTATCAACTAATGGCCCCACAACTTGTGTTGGAGCAAAGGGAAACTTGCCCCACTGGCTCAGAGAATGCTTTCGTCTGTATGATCTTTCATGGTTTCACTGGTAGAGTCCATGAATGTTGTTTCATCTTTGAATGACTGAGGCTTGGAACTTTTCTTGGCATCTCTGAGTGTTCCTCAATCCTTCCAACTCTGTTGATACCTCTTTCATACTAGGCCTCTTTTTCCCATTCAACCTCAAACACCTTGTTGCAAGCTCAACAATTGCTCCAACATGCTCCATCTCTGCCTCTCGAACCACTCGAGGATCCAAAATCTGAACAAGTTCGTTTTCCCTTGGCAGTGAAATGAAAGAAGCAACCAGATTCTCCCCGTCATCTTTAGCAAAAGAAAACGGGGTTTTCCCAGTTAATATTTCTAAAAGTGTGACTCCAAAGTTGTAGGTATCACTTTTATCTGTAAATTTACTAGATTGGAAGTACTCTAAATCCATGTATCCAAAAGTTCCTTGTACTTCTATGGTTAAGTGAGTTTTGTCAAGGGGAACTGATTTTGAAGTCCCAAAGTCAGATACTTTAGCACTGTAGTTATGGTCTAGAAGAATGTTAGAAGACCTGAAGCGATGTTCCAATGAAAGTGATGGTTTTTCAATGCGCATCTGTTGGATATAGTATTGCCGTGCGGCTATACTGTATAAATAGAAATTTTAAAATTACAGCGGCGTGAGTTTAGTTTATGAATAGAAATTTTAACAATATGCCGTGCGGCTATGCTCTGTAAATAGAAACTTAGAGTATAGCCGCTCGGCTATACACTCGCTGTACAAATAGAAATTTTACAAGCATGGCCGCTCTGCTATACGCCATAAATAGAAATTATAACGGTATAGCCGTCCGGCTATACCCTTTAAATACACAATTTTAATAGCGTAGCCGATCGGCTGCACGCTTTAAATATTTTAAAAGTATATCCGCATGGCTATACTCGTTAAAAGTATAAAATTAGTTTCTTTACTTTTTTCTTTGGGCAGCTTCTGTTTTTTAATTACTTTAATTATTGTTTCTTTGGTGAAAAAATAGAATATTTTAAAGGATAGCCGCACGGTATACTCTCTATTTTACAAGTATAACCGCCCGGCTTGAACCCATAAATAGAAATTATAACATTATAGTCGTGCGGCTGTACTCTCTGTATACAATATATTAGCAGTATAGCCGCTCGGCAATACTGTATAAATAGAAATTTTAAAAGTATAGCCCGAAGGCTGGACTCTATAAATAGAAATTTAAATAGTAGAGCCGAACGGCTATACGCTATAAATAGACAAGTCTAGCCGCACGGCTATACCCCATAAATAGAAATTAAGGAGTATAGCCGTGCTGCTATACTATCTATTTATTTATTTAAAAAAAAAATAGGAACCGCCTAATAGCACCTATTCGGAAGTTTTTTTTTTTTTTTTTAAATTTTTTAAAAGAATATAGCCATGCGGCTATACAAAAGGTCTTAATTTCTCACTTTACACCATAAAATCGAAATTTTATCACTTAACCTTCTGGAACTGAAAAGTTCGGCCACCATATAATATTTTAATATAATTTTGTGTATAATACTTGAATTTTGTATGTATGATTGAAAATTTTGTAAAAAAACACGTGTATTAAACATGAAAAATATGTACATACGTGTATTGTACTAAGTCTTTAAGACGCGTATGCAAAACAAAAGTATTATTAAAAAAAAATACATACGTATATGTATAATACAAGTGTTAAACGGGAAAATGCTAAATTATTTATACTGGTAATAACTCTCGAAATGTTAAAAATCAAAAGAAGACAATAGAGACTTGGGTAATGCCCAAATAGTAATGGATAATGCTCTAAACTACTCTTATCGATAAAAGAAAATTAGGAAAAGATTTTGTTTACATGACGTTAGCTCTTAGCTGGATTCACACAAGCCACAATGAATCTCAGCCATCCATCTAGCTCAATTCTAGGATTACTACTAGTGGCTGTTTTTAGCCTTACACGATGGAAGCCTTACACTTGTCATTCTCTAGGACTAAGTGAATACACAATTAACACTCTAGGCTTATATGAAGTCAAGCTCATTGCTTACAATTCTACAAGATTATTACAAAGATGACTTTCAATTCTACAAGATTATTTAAAAAAAAATACAGTTTTTTGTTTTTCTTTACAGCAATGTACATTTGACAACATTTTATTCCTGCTTTAAAAAACTAGAACAAGAATACATGAACAAAATCTGAATCCTCCGTTGACTGAAACAGTAAAGAGGCTGCCATAATCTTCACAAGAGAATATAGGATAAACGTGAGGATATTTCTCTGGAGCAGGCTTCAGTGATATTAAACTCTTGTATCTATTAAACGTCCCAACTTTCCTTCATGCTGTACATCTACCGACTCAATAGCCATATATGGCAACTAAATAGAAAACTAGAAGCATAGCTTCATACAAAGTACCGCGGTTTCAAAGCCTGCAACAGTTCCACTGATCTGGCAGTACAATGGACATCTAAATGCTCCTCAATCTGTCAAAAAATTGAGGGATTGAATTTGGCTAATCTACTGAAAAATGGCGGTGCTATTGCTTTGGAGCATGCTTCCCTGAAGTAAAAGAAGCTTTTAAGATGGCGAAAATTTGAACAGCTATCAATTGTCAAGCACCAATCTGCATTATATTCAATCATTACCTCTGACACTAATTTCCAGGCTTCTCTGAGAATGGGCTCTTTCCAAGTATGGAGCAATTAAGGCATCCAATCTCACCAACCAGAGTGCAACTGCAGATGTTGTTTGGGGCACACAAGCAAAGGACGCAATCAGTTCTTCACTAAAATTACAAGAACCTTGCACTATATTGCATTCATATAATCGGTCCTTGTTGATGGCACCAACAAAATCACCAAGAACCTGCACGAGTAAATAATAAAGAAACTGATGGTTCCGACTAGAAAGTAAACGAAAAATAGATAGTGTGAAATGAGGAAAATAGAAAACCTGCAAAAGCTCAGCCAAAGATGAGGTACGTCTTAGTTGTTTCACCCATAGCTTATGAGCAGATTTTTCCCAAGCACCCAACAAAGCATCTTCTGGCAAGACTGACTGCACAAAGTAGAGGGAGGTGGAGATCAATATATAGCACGGAAAAACATTAAAAAATTTGGGGCGAATAGAAATGTCTTCGATATATAATCTAATTTAAGCATCAGACAATCAAAAGGTTCAGGCCCCAAAATCCAACTACCAGAGGCCAGAACTAATCAGATAGGGCAGGTGGATGCTAATCAACCATTCTGCTCCATTCACAGCAGTATGCATTTTCATCAATCCCTTCCCAGTAACACATGCTAAATTCCTCTTTTGGCCTTGTTTTCCCGCCATCCCCATCCCTTCATCTAAAATCTTATTGCACTTCAGAGATTTTCTCTGCTTTTATTTATTTATTTATTATATAAAAGCTATTGGATTTGATTGCATTTGGTTTAAGAAAAAGCAAGTAAATATTATAACTTATACAAGGTCAAGCAATATGTACTACAATCACATTGATCGTATAACAAAAGTTCAGCATAATACCTCTTCTGATTCAATCACTTCCCAGTGACCATCTTCTGAAGATTCGAAATAAACCCTTCTATGTCCAAGAAAAGCCAGTATCTATTGTATCAGACCCCAAAAACACAGATTGCATTGGGTGTAAGTCAAACCGCACTTCTCTTTCTTTTGTAGAGAATCTCTCGTCAGAGAACTTTGAGATTGACCCTGAAGAATCCATAGGGTGAAACTTTAATGTATAATCTTCTTTTGCACCACTCGTATGTCCTGCATGGACCCAGGTTGGCCTGGGCATGCCATGTTGTTTAGTTGATAACCTCTTAATTTTCGGCCCTGAACCAGAATGAGAAGTAAAAGAGAGTTGGGCGCCGCCGCGATTTCATCCTAATCGTAAGGAGTAGCCTCCAGGGAGTTGGGCGCCGCCTAACGCCCGCCTATGCCGCCTAGCGCCCGCCTATGCCACCTAGGCCGCCTAGCACCCGCCTAGGCCGCCTAGCGCCCGCCTAGCCCCCGCCTGGGCCGCCTGGGGGGGTCCGGATTGGCGTTTTTCCGTTGAGGCGTCGACCAGTTGAAGCGCGCAGGAGGCGGTGACGCTTAAGGTGGCACTGAGGCGTTGCTTGTTATGAAGAAAGACCGAGAGAGAGAGAGATGAAGTCGAAACAAAGAAAGGAAGGTGTAGACTACACTGGGAAGAAGAAATCTAACCTAACGGGTTGGGTTTTGTAAAATGGGCTTAAACATTGTATTAAAATGGCCCTATATTAAAAAAAGTAAACTTTTTTTAGCAGTTTTTTTTTATTTTTTTTATTTTTTAAATATCAAGGTTACAGAAAATACAAAAGTAAAAGTCGGATAATATCAAGGTTTGAAAATGTTAAACTTATAAACCACCATAATAATTACGGCTACTTGAATCTCATTGAATATTCAAATAATATTTACTGTCAAAGTATTTATATATAATGCAGTTTTCACCATTCAGATGATATTATCTTACAAAGGACTGAACACATTCCATTTAATGGGGCAACCTCATAGTGGTGGGAAAAATCAAAACAAAGAAAAGGTATCAATGTACATGCAAAGATTCTATATATATGTTACCTCCATTCTGAAACTTGAACCTGCATGAAGAAGATCAATTGAAGCCACTATTGCGCTCAACTTTTCTTCAATGCTTAAATCTAAATATCTGAATATTCGCCTTCCATCAGTCCTAATAAATTTGGCTAATCTACCGAAAAAAGGCGGTGCTATTGCTTTGGAGCATGCTTCCCTGAAGTAAAAGAAGCTTTTAAGATGGCGAAAATTTGAACAGCTATCAATTGTCAAGCACCAATCTGCATTATATTCAATCATTACCTCTGACACTAATTTCCAGCCTTTTCTGAGAATGGGCTCTTTCCAAGTAGGGAGCAATTAAGGCATCCAATCTCACCAACCAGAGCGCAACTGCAGATGTTGTTTGGGGCATACATGCAAAGGACGCAATCAGTTCTTCACTAAAATCACACGAACCTTGCACTATATTGCATTCATATAATCGGTCCTTGTTGATGGGATGGCACCAACAAAATCACCAAGAACCTGCACGAGTAAACAATAAAGAAACTGATGGTTCCGACTAAAAAGTAAACAAAAAATAGATAGTGTGAAATGAGGAAAATAGAAAACCTGCAAAAGCTCAGCCAAAGATGAGGTACGTCTTAGTTGTTTCACCCATAGCTTATGAGCAGATTTTTTCCAAGCACCCAACAAAGCATCTTCTGGCATGACTGACTGCACAAAGCAGAGGGAGGTGGAGATCAATATAGCACGGAAAAACATTAAAAATTTTGGGGCGAATAGAAATGTCTTCAATATATAATCTGTTTTAAGCATCAGACAATCAAAAGGTTCAGTCCCCAAAATCCAACTAAAATAATCCCACTATTTAGGGTTAGCTACCAGAGGCCATAACTAATCAGATAGGGCAGGTGGATGCTAATCAACCATTCTGCTCCATTCACAGCAGTATGCATTTTCATCAATCCCTTCCCAGTAACAAATGCTAAATTCCTCTTTTGGCCTTGTTTTCCC